CCCATAGAAATCAACCTGGGTGGCTTTTAACAGAAAAGAGATAAACATTTTCACCTGCCTATTCACACTGAAGGTACTAGATTTTGCATGATTAATTGCAGCTAAGCAGGGTTGCCCCTGTTGTTACCTGGATGTTGTTACCTGGAGACATCATTTTAACTGCCATGGCTCAATGCTATAGAATCATGGGAGTTATAGTTTCACATGGTCTTTAGCCTTCGCTGCCAAACTACCAATCCTAGGATTCCATAACATTGAGACAATGCAATTAAAGTGGAGTCAAACAATGTTCATTCGACAGTGTAGTAGATGCACCTTTTCTTTCCTCCTTAGCAACAGCATGATTGACATAATCGTAATCTCAGTTATTTAATTTCAGATAAGTGGGACAAATACTTGTAGCAGGCTGAGTAAATAAGGCTGTTTTATGCGTGACATATGGGTTACAATCTGATAGTAGCCAGCATATTTCTCATGTAAGTGTTCCCACCCTCTAAGGAAGCCGAAATCTGTCACAAGTATCTCTTCCTGGAGTTTTTGATATAACTGGCAATGCTTCAAAATTCCAGATACACTTAGTCATCTCAAAAGGTCCCTTTCCAAACTAAAGCTGCCAGCGATTATTCTTTTTTATCAGCTCAAGTGGACTTACACTTACAAGGAATCTTTATTTAATGTATGCCCTGGCTCACTTATGACATGAGTCCTAAGGCTGTTCAAAACATAGAATTCCTATGCACACGGCACATATCTTATTTGTAGTGCAAAAAACACTTTAAAACAATACAATAATTAAAATGGAGAACAGTTTTAACAAATATAAGCTTATTAGTATTTCAATGGGAAGTGTGGGCCTGTTTTTGGCTGATGAGATATGACTGTTGTTGTTATGGAGCCCCCAGTGGCACAGTGGGTTAAACCCCTGTGCCGGCGGGACTGAAGACAGACAGGTCGCAGGTTCACATCCGGGGAGAGGCGGATGAGCTCCCTCTGTCAGCTCCAGCTCCCCAAGCGAAGACATGAGAGAAGCCTCCCACAGGGATGATAAAAACATCAAATCATCCGGGCGTCCCCTGAGCAACATCCTTGCAGACGGCCAATTCTCTCACACCAGAAGCTACTTGCAGTTTCTTAAGTCGCTCCTGACACGACAAAGAAAACTGTTGTTGTTGTTGTGTGCTTTCAAGTCATTTCAGACTTAGGTTGACCCTGAGGGAGAGCCAGGTAAATGACCTTGGAGGGCCGTATCCAGGCCCCGGGCCTTAGTTTGAGGACCCCTGATGTGTGATCCAATACAACAACCAGCAGAAGTATCTGATGTGTGAACCAATACAACAACCAGCAGAGTGATCTTGTCTGCTGTGGACTCATCTCGTAATGTTTCAAATAATAATAATAACAATATTGACATTAATAATAATAATAATAATGCCAGCTGCAAAAGGCCACCTTACTGGGATCTGCAAGCATTCGCTGATACATCACACAGTCCTAGATACTTGGGAAGTGTCCGACGTGTGATCCAATTCAACAGCCAGCAGAGTGTCTGCTGTGGACTCATCTTGTTGTGTTTCAAATAATAATAATAATAATAATAATAATAATAATAATAATTTCCTGCCTAGCAGAATGTGGTTGGAGTAATGGCCCTGGGGGTTCCCTTCCAGCTTTATGATTCCAAATAAGGGATTCTCAACATACAGGTAGAAAGAAAACAATATAGTATGCTTGTGCTCTCTTCACTCCCAGTAGCTGCAATGCTTTAGGAGGAAAGACATTCCTTGCACCTTTCCAGCTTAAATGCAGGTGTATCTACTACACTGTAGAATTATTGGCAATTACCATATCACTTTCACTGTCCTGGCTCAATGCTATGAAATTGTAGGAGCTGTAGTTTTCCTAGCTGCTTCTGCCGAAGGGTTTCATAGTGTTCATAGAATCATATAATAAGAGAGTTGGAAGAGATCACACGAACCATCTAATTCAATCCCCTGCCATGCCGGAAAAGCACAATCAAAATATCCCTGACAGATGGCCATCCAGCATCTCTTTAAACCAGGTAATGAAAGTGATGCCATACTGCCTTAATTCTACAGCAGGGGTCCCCATAGTATGGCTAGATGCAGCCCTCCAAGGAATTTTGCCCAAAACTATAGACTTAGGGTTGCCCTGAGTCTGAAACAACTTGAAGGCTCTAAGACCCACTTAGAAAGTTCAACAAATGCTGCATTCAGCAAAGGATAAGAGGGAATCCTCTAAACTTTGCAGGAGTCTACCGTATACTATGCAGTTGTGGACAAGTCTATACAGGGACCACCAAACGCAGCATTGCCCAAACACCAATCAAAGCACATGAAAGGCACTGCAGAGAAGTCAGCCATAGCAGAGCACTTGATAAACCAAGCATGTTATTTGAGAACACAGAAATGCTGGACCACTCTGACAACCACCATGTCAGACTACATAGAGAAGTCACTGAAATCCACACACGTGGACAATTTCAACAGAAAGGAGGAAACCATTAAATTGAACAAAAACTACCAGTACTAAAAAAAACTCCAGAATCAGAACACTGAATAAAGACCAACACTCAGAAGCAAGGGAACTCTAGGCAGCAAATGACCAAGTGCCAGTTAACACCTCTAAAACAAAGGATGTCTTCAGGCAACAACAGCCAAGCTACCTCTATGCAGATACTCTCACTGATTGACTTTGCAGCTGCAAGGCCTTTCTATGCTAATTCAAGCTGGCTAATTGCAACATTCACACTTGCTTCCAACAGACAAGGGTTCTTCCTCCCACCCTGTGTTTTCTGTTGGTCATGGGAGTCCTGTGGGCCACGTTTTGTTCAATTCCATCATTGGTAGAGTTCAGGATGCTATTTTGATTGTAGGTTAATTATAAATCCCAGCAAGTACATGACAACATCAATTTTTTTGAGTGATGGTCACTCCTTGGGTTAGTAGGTGTCTTGTGGCCAATTTTTTTGAGTGGTTTTGAGTTATGTTAATCCCACAAACAAACATTACATTTTTATTTATATACTTGCCGTCCCTTGCCACACGTGTTGCTGTGGCCCAGTCTGGTGATCTCAAAAATAAGGTAATGGGAAAGTGTTGGTTTCTAATATATGTGATTTCTTTATGCTTGTGGGTAAACAGTATTTTTTGTTGTTTCTTTGTCAGTGTTGATGTATAGATTGTCTAGTTTGCCTACTCTGGAACATGTAACATATAACTGTCCTTCTTTAGGGGTCCCTTTCAAATCTATTATGCTATAACTATCATATACATATGAGTGTTTGTGTGTGTGAGGGAGAATCATATCTATCTATATATGGCTCTTTGTCAGGAGGGCTTTGATTATGTTTTTGTGTCCTGGTGAAGGGAGTTGGATTGGATAGCCTTCAGACAGCATTTCTCAACCTGGGGGTTGGTACCCGGGGGGCGGTCGCAAGGGGATGTCAGAAGGGTTGCTAAAGACCACCAGAAAACACAGTATTTTCTGTTGGTCATGGGGTTGTGTGTGGAAGGTTTGGCCCAATTCTATCATTGGTGGAGTTCAGAATGCTCTTTGATTGTAGGTGAACTATAAATCCCAGTAACTACAACTCCCAAATGTCAAGGTCTATTTCCCCCAAACTACATCTGAGTTCACATTTGGGCATATGGAATATTCATGCCAAGTTTGGTCCAGATCCATCATTGTTTGAGTCCACAGTGCTCTCTGAATGTAGGTGAACTACAACTTCCAAAATCAAGGTCAATGCCCATCAAACTCTTCTAGTGTTTTCCGTTGATCATGGGAGTCCTGTGTACCACGTTTGGTTCAATTCCATCATTGGTAGATTTCAGAATGCTCTTTTGATTGTAGGTTAACTATAAATCCCAGCAACTACAACTCCTAAATGACAAAATCAATTTTTTGAGTGATGGTCACTCCTTGGGTTAGTAGGTGTCTTGTGGCCAAATTTGGAGGCAATTTGTCCAGTGGTTTTTGAGTTATGTTAATCCACAAACGAACATGACATTTGTATTTATATAGATACCCACACACACACACACTTCACATGTTTCACTGCCCTCTCTCCTTCCTTCCTTCTTTCCTTCCTTCCTTCCTTCCCTCTTTTTCTTTCCCTTCTTCATTCTTCCTTCTCTATCTGTTTCTTTTCTTACTTCCTTTGCTCTTTGGTTCCATCCTTCCTTGTCTCTTTCCTTCCCTCCCTTTTCTTTTTCATTCCTTCTCTCCTTCCTTTCCTCTTTCACTTTTTATTTCCTTCTCTCCTTCCTTCCTTCTTTTTCTTTCCTTCCCTCCCTTTCTCTTTCGTTCCTTCTCTCCTTCCTTCCCTCTTTCACTTATTTCCTTCTCTCCTTCCTTCCTTCTCTTTCTTTCCTTCCTTCCCTCTTTCTCTCCTTCCTTCCCTCTTTCACTTATTTCCTTCTCTCCTTCCTTCCTTCTCTTTCTTTCTTTCTCTTCTTCCTTCCTCCTCTACCTTTCTTTCTTTCCTTCTCTCCTTCTTTCTCTCTCTCCTTCCTTCCCCCTTTCTGTGTATGTTTTGTATGTGCATGTGTGTGGTTTTGTGCTTGTGTTGTAATGTATTATTTTGTTTTTTGGCTTCTTAAGTCCCTCCTGCTGCCTTTTTCAGTGTTTTTATGAGTTATGGTCACTCATTGGCCTGATCGGTTTATTATGTCCAAGCTTGGTGTCAATTCGCCCAGTGTTTTTTGAGATAATTCCACAAACGAACATTACATTTTATTTATGTAGATAGAAGAGAGATTACAAGTTCCGCTTGGTGAGGTGCTCTACCACATCACATTGGAGTTCTAAAGCAGCAGGTGCACCGTTTCTCTAGGTCCCAATATTGGCTCCTACAGAATTCTGGGAAACGTAGTTGCGGGCGGGGCCTTTGGAATGCTCAGCCGGGGAGGCGCCGGGCTTCGTTCGACTACATTTCCCAGAATGCTGCGGGAGGATGGGCGCTCTCCGCTTGCTTCGGAGCTGTGAGGGAAGGGAGTCCTCTGGGGTCGAGGCGGGGAGGCGTGAAGAAGAGCCAGGGAGGGAGGGAGGGAGGGAGGAGGAGGAGACCAGCTTGGGGAAACCAGCCTCTCATTAGCATGGAGGGAGGAGAGGCGGAGGGCGCCTCTTCCTCGGTGCAAAGCGCTCCTTTCCCTCTGGAGCCATGGCCAGGGCGCCAGTCCTCTTGCTCTGCCTCGCAGTGGGCGCCTCCTTCGCCTCAG